AGGAAGGAAGGAAGGAGACGTGAAAACAGAGATTGGGAAAGGAGGAATGTTACTACGACACACCTACCCATCCAAAAACACTTCTTTCACTGTGATCCCTGACCTGATGAATGCTTACCTGATGATATCAATGTGTCCATTTTTGGCTGCCAGGTGGAGCGGAGACGTCCCATTTGGATCTGCTGTGTCTCCCTTTTTAGGTTCCAACAAAGCGGCGCACATGTTACTAGACAGCAACAACTGGACCACCTACACACACATGAAAGAGGTTTTCGGTGAGGAGAACAAGAGGCCAGCCCTAGAATCAGTTGAATTTCCAGAATCTTTCTAAAGACAGATTTAAATACGTGGGCTTACCCCGACCCGGCCGAATTCACAGGCCAGATCCAGAGGTGTTTTCCCTGCATTATCCACGATGCAAGGGTTGGACTGGTGCTGCAGCAGCATCTCAGACTGGAGTCGGGGAAAGCAAATAAAAACACACAGAAGTCTGTAAAGTGGGAGTGGTAAACGCTTTTCAATCTGTAAACTCTCCAAATAAAATCCAGAGTAAATGAACCTTTAGAAGTCGCCTGACTTCTAAAGGTCCATGTGTAAGTCTCAGACATTTCTCTTAAGAGAACAAACACCTTTATGAACCAGGGAACCCAGCAGATGGCCCACCATTAAAGCTATAGCAGAGTTTAAAGTATGGATAGGTTGGAAAAAAAATTTACCAGTCTTTAGCCATAAGACAGAGAAACATTCAGTGTATCATCTGAAAATGGTAATATGGGAGTACGGCATAACTGCAAAAATGTAGAGAAATCACTTTAGAAGTCATCTTAAACCTTAGAGAAAAGAGTAAACCCATTTTCACAACTCCAAAAAGAAAATGGATGCACTGTTTTAAAGTGACACAAAGAAATCAGGATAACTAGCACTCCATGGTCCTTTTATTAGTTAAATTAGAGCCTTTGCACACCATTCAAGTCATAGTGGTCCAACTAAACCAACAGACATTATGTACACAACAGAGACTGACATTTTTTCGGGAATCCCACGGGTCACGGGATTCCAGTGGGATTTCCTTGGGATGGGAGTCAGTATTAGTAACGATCACGTGATTGGGACGGTACAGGATTAAACATTAACGGGAGCAGACGGGAGCAAACCAATAATAAATAAAAAAAAAACTAGGATCGATGCCAGAAAATAAAATAAAATAGAAAGGAAAAAAATCCAGTACTGGCGCCGCCATTTTGTAGTTTTTTCCTTGAAGCCTACACTATAATGCGAGTCAAAAAAACTACACGACCCAAAAACCAACACTGCTTCCGCTCTTAGTTTTTCACCCGCGCTCAAAAACAACAATGGAGGGACAAACAGTTACTACAGGAACTTAACTGACCCTTCATAGAAATTCAGATTCAATGTATTCAAACAAATCTTATTGAAGACAACAAGAATGGGAGTGGTGCAGGAGCGGGAGTCATTCTGAATGGGAGCGGGATGGGAGTGGGAGTAATTTCACCAGGAGTGGGACGGGACAGGATTGAGATTTCTACCTTGGCCCGGGATCGGGACGGGACACAATTTCTTTCTGTGGGAGTGGGACGGGACAGGAGTGAAAATCCACTCCCGTGTCAGTCTCTAGTACACAATCATAAAACTTAAGCTTTGCTTACACCTGTCTGCTAGGAGTCCATCAGACTGTGCAGATGTTCACTGAAAAAACAGTATGTCTGAGCAGGTAGGATGGTCATTCCAGTTAGCCAATCTACAAATCTGGCTTTTAGGGAAAAAAGCAAGAAGAAAACCATAGAGGCAAGAAATTCATAAGAAGTCCAGTTCACACTTTTTCACAAGCCACTCGAAGGACGCAGCAAACTTTTGGAAAAAGGTCCATTCCACTTTGATGAAAAAATTTTTATTTTATTATTACATGAAAAATCCCTGAGAGTCAAACAATGATCGAACATGGTGGACGCAGCATCTTGTTTTAAGGAGCCTTTTTTCTCCAGAGGGAATAGAGAATCTGGTCACTGTGGTTGGAAAGAGGGAGGCAACCTAATGTCCAGCAATTTTAAATGAAAACTAGTCGGAAGCAGCAAAACACTTGGGACTAGAACGTTGGTTCCCGTTCTAGCAGGACAACAATCCCTCAACAGTCAGAGCTAAATGGTTTAGATCAGAGCATGTCTATGTATTAGAATAGTTAACTCATAAAGAAAACTGGAATCCAACAGAGCAGGTAGATTGGTGCTCACCTTTGAATCTTACTGAGATTGAACAATTTGTTAAAAACTGACAGAAATGTGTGTCATCCTGCTTTTTGTTGAGTCTTTTTGAGGGGCGGTAGGAGGTACTGGTCTGTACTGTATGTGGCGCGACCTTAATGTCTAGTTTCCCTCACACAATTATGTTCTGCAATGCATTGTTCTATTGTATCGTATCCCAGTAGAATATATTAAGAGTCAAAAGGTCCAAGCAGCAGCTACAGTTCTTGTCATGCAGCCTGCAGATTTTTGGGCTGACTGCTGCTTACCACTCTCTGCTCATCCACCCCGCCCCTCTCTGTCAGTCTTAACCAGATTGTCTCCTCCTTGCCTGCACCAGGTTTTTTTATCCAGTGATTATATGCAACGCCTGTGTTCCTGTTTTCCTATACTCAGCCAGTTCTCTCTGAATTTTTATCATCTTCGTACTTTGCTCCTGTCCCAGACAGCCTCTGCCTACCACCAGTCTGTTCTAGCTATGTTTTATGTTAGCTAATATCATTGAGC